GGAGCGCGAGGGAGCTTCTGAGAAGCCCCCTCGCCTTCTTGCAAGGCCCCCACACACACACCATCCCTCCAGCCCCCCTTGCGCGCTCCGCCCAGGATGGGGGCCTTCTTCGGCCTGGACAGCACCGAGATGGTGCGCCTGGGGCGCGAGAGGCAGCGCGATCCTGCCCAGCCCGAGTGGGTCGACAGCCTGACCGACGCGGAGCTGTCCCAGATCGAGCAGGACAGGTTCTGCCGCGCGTACATGGCACGGGTCGGCTACCGGCCCGGCCGGGGGGAGGGCGCAGATGCGTCTGGCCTGCGCTCTCCCGCCGAGCTGCTGCGGGGGCTCGACGCGAGCGAGCACGGCCTGCTCGCCGAGCTGATGTCCATGGACCCCCGCGTGCACCGCGCACGTCCGCAGCCCCGCCCGAGGTAGAGTCCGCGGAGCAGTGCCGCCCGCTCGAGACAGAGTGCAGGCGCGTGCGCGCACAGCGGACCGGCTGATAGCTCGTCATTGCGCTGATCGAGGGCCCCCACAAGCCGTCGGTTCCCCCCTCCTTCTCGGCCCTCTTCCTCCGAATTGCCTTCATCACCCTCATCCCCATTCTCTTCTGGATCCTCCTCCTCCTTCTCCCCGTCTCCTCCTATCTCCTCTTCATGCCTCCGCCCTCCTCCCTGTGCCCCGAGGAGGAGCAGGAGGAGGGGTATCGAGGCTTTGGGCAGTTTTGGCCGTGTTGGGTTTTCTTTTGGGGAACTCCGGGGACTTCTGAATTCTTTAAATGGATCTCCAGAGCCCACCCGGAGGCTTCTTCACTACTTACGAAAATCAGGAGGGGAAGAAACACACAGGCACAATTAATCGTCGATTCCGGAGAAAAGATGGGAACATCTGGGCAGTGGGGGGGAAGACAGAAACCCAGAAGATATGGGAAAACATTGGGAATCTTTTTATTCGTGTGTACTTCTTTGTGTGCCTTAGGGCCCCTTCAACTACCTACGAACACAAAACCCAACCCAACCCGAAGGTCCCAGGCCATCCGAAATTTCGGGTCGGGGAGCGCGCGGCTTCCGTCGTGCCCCCCCCCCCGCCGGAAATGGACGACTCCAGCGGTGGCCTGGCAGGTGGCCACCTCTGGGGACATCCGGGGATCCGCTTCGATTCACCAAGGGCTCCCACGAGGGCGCGAAGTTATTCGCGCTTCGCGCTTCGCGGTCCTCGTTCCTTCTCCCCCTCCTCCTCGTCCTCCTCTTCTCCCCCTTGGGGGGCGGCGCGAGGGCGCGAAGTTATTCGCGCTTCGCGCTTCGCGGAGCGCGAAGCGCGAAGTTGGGACACCCCGGGGATCCGCTTCGATTCACTTTGCCGGCCCTTGCGCCGAGCTCGGACGCCCGGCCTCGTGACCTCTTTCGCCGCGCGGGCGCCTGAAACTCAGGAGGGAAAAAAACACACAGACACAATTAATCGTCGATCCCCAGGAAAATATGCGAAAATATGGGAAGTGTGGGGGAAGACAAAGACCCAGAAAATACGGGAAAATATGGGGGATCTGTTTATTTGTGTGTATTTATTTGTGTGTCCTGGGGCCCCTTCAGAAGCTTCCGACACTCTTCCGAGGACCGGCTCTCGTGGCGGGCCGTTTTTTGGCTGTGTGTGTGTGGCCCTAGGGTTAAGGTCGGGCCTGTCCCCCTACAGGGGGATTTTCGACGACAAAAAAAAAAAATAGTCCCGAAAAATAGTCTGGGGACTATTTTAGATATTTTTGTTACCTTTTGGGGGCATGCTTGGGGTATTTTTTTGTTCGTCGAAAATCCCCCTGTACGGGGGACACGCCCGACATAAGCCTGGGGCCCGACGTGGGCCTCTGGAGTTTTCAAACGCTTGGAGAAGTTGCAGCCCCGACAGTTCAGGAGGGAAGGAAACACACAGACACAATTCATCGTCGATCCCCCAGAGAAGATGGGAAAATATGGGAAGTGGGGGGGAAGACAAAAACCCAGAAAATATGGGAAAATATGGGGGATCCTTTCATTTGTGTGTGTTTATTTGTGTGTCCTGGTGCCCCTTCAACAGGTTCGAGACCCCTGGAGGTCCGGGAACTCGGGCAGGCCCTTCCTGGTCCCCGGGCGTTGCGTACCCGCCTGCCCAGCCTGGCAGGGAAGGGTCGGCCGGCCGTTGCGCGCAGGTGTACGCCCTGGCGCAGGCTCGCGAGGCCTGCCGGCGCAGCTCCGACTCTGCTTGCCCGACCGCGTCGACCTCGGCGGTCTCGATCATCTCGAGTCGGCCGATTGCCTCGCCCCGCGCTCGCTCCTTCCACCCGCGGGTCTCTCACGTCTTCTGACTTTCGGTTCGATCGAATTTCGATTGCCAGGGAATCACCAGCGTTCTCTTCCCCTTTCCTCCTCCTCCTCCTCGCTGTCGAACCACGCGGTCGGTTTTCAAATGTGCCCGATCACGAACGTCGTGTCTCTGCCAGTTTGGAGAACAGAAGGCTGCGACTGAAGAGCAGTTCATTTCACCTCCTACAGGCCATAGGGCAGCTGGCGTTGGTAGGTTGACAGGCCCACCCGTACGCTCACTGGCATCCTGACATATCCTGACCTTGCCAGGCCACAGTCGACCATTTCCGAGTTTACCCGTGGGCGCGGCAAGGAAAGCACACGGCCGAAGGGGCCGCAAGGCCTGGGGAAGGCTGCAGCAGGCGAGGAGATGCCCCCCCTCGAGGGACCGGCCCAGGGCACGTCCGTGATGTGTCGCTGAAGCGATGCCGATGGCCTTCGAGTTCTCCCACGGTTGGCCACTTGTCGGCCGCAAGTCCCTGGGGAGGGAGGAGGGAGGAGGGAGGAGGGAGGAGGGAGGAGGGAGGAGGGAGGAAGAGGGAGGGAGGGAGGGAGGGAGGGAGGGAGGGAGGGAGGGAGGGAGGGAGGGAGGAGGAGGAGGAGGAGGAGGAGGAGGCCTACGCGGCGTGGACCGTGGCGCGAGGGTGTTCTGCGTTGGTATGCCCGGCGAGGACTTCAGTGCTGCAGGGCACCAGGCTGCACGAGGCAAATGCTTTGCGCATTGCCCCCCTCGTCTTAGAAAGACGTGAGCCCCTTGGGGTTGGTGTGTTGGCACGCACGCACACGACCTTTTGTTCGGAGAACGACAAAGCGTGCGACTGGCCAGCCGGCTCACACAGTTGAAGCATCTCTGAGTCTGCAGTCTTCGGCCCCCATCTTCTGGGCTGGAAGTGTGGGCGCGGTATCTCGCCCAGCGAGGACAAGGGGACCAGACAGGGACACGTGGGGGGCTGCTCATCATCCCAGACGGGGGACTCAGGACATCAAAGGCCGAACCTCGACTCGTTTCGCTGTTCAGCGAGGGTCTTCTGCTCGCACAAGTGCTCCTCGTGCCAGGCGTGCGGGGTCCAGTTCGGTGTCCTCTCTTTGTTTTTCTCCCCTTCTCTTTCCTCTCCTGTAAAGGAGGGGAGGACGAGTGGGATTGAATGAGGCAGGACTGCATGATGAGTAGAGAAGGGAGAGGACAGTGGAAGACGAGGGGAGGAGGAGGATAATGACTAGGAGGATGAGCAGGCAGTAGCAGAGGGTAGTGAGCAGGCAGTAAGGACGGGGGATGGGGAGCGACGGAAGAGGCGGAGGAGGAGCTGTATTATTACGATAAGAGGAGAAGTTGGAGCAGGAGGAGAAGGAAGAGGAGGACGAGGGGAGGAGAAGGGGGATCAGTAAGGAGGAGAAGGAGGAAGAGGAGGAGGGCCACGACGATGATGGTGATGGTGCTGGTGATGGTGATGGTGGTGATGATTGTGGTGATGATGATAATGCTGATGATGATGATGATTATAATGACGCTGGTGATGATGATGATGATGATGATGATGATGATGATGATGATGATGATGATGATGATGATGATGACGATGATGATGATGATGATGGTGATGATGATGATGATGATGATGACGATGTCAATGATGATGATGCTGATGATGATGACGATGACGACGATGATGATGATGATGATGGTGATGGTGATGGCGACGACGACGATGACGATGATGAGTATGATGATGCTGATGGTGGTGATGATGGTGGTGGTGACGACGATGGTGGTGATGGTGATGGTGATGATGATGGTGTTGATGAATACGATGATGATTATGATGATGATGGTGATACTGATGATGGTGACGGTGATAGTGATGGTGATCATGATGCTGATGATGCTGATAGTTGTGACGACGACGATGATGATGGTGATGGCGATGATGAAAATGCTGATGATGCTGATGATGCTGCTGATAATGCTGCTGCTGATGAAGATGATGATGATGGTGATGATGGTGACGATGCTGCTGCTGCTGATGATGATGACGATGATGCTGATGATGATAATGGTGGTGGTGATGATGATGATGCTGATGATGATAATGATGATGGTGATGATAAAGCATTGACTGCCATGCCACCGTGCGCCACCCCTCCTCCATCCCTGCCTCCCTTCCCCCCCCCCTTCCCTCTCTGCTGCTCCCTCATTCCTCCTCTCTCTTTCCCTCATCCCTTCCTCCATCCATCCATCCCACCCTCCCCCCACCTCCCTCCCGCGGCCTCACCACCATCCTCCCCATACGTACCTCCCTCCCTCTCTCCTTCCCTCAGCCCTCCCTTCTCCCTCTTCGCTCCTCCCCTTTCCCCTCCTTTCCCTCGTCCTCCTCCCTCTTCCCTTCTCGCCCCCTCCCGCCCTCCTCCCCCCTTCCCCCCCCTCATTCCGTTCCCCCGTCTGCATGTCGTCTTAGCGCTGCGCACGTCCCCGGCGCTGGTCCCATCATGGGATTGTCATTGTCTCGCGGACGCTTGCGTCCTGAGTCCCGAGCACTCCCATCCCCTCCCCTCCTCTCCCCTCCCGTGGCGAGAGGGCTGGGCCAGCCCTGGCGGGCAAAGGCCCCCCCGTGCCTCCCCCCCCACGGGGCCCCCCCTCCCAGGCCGCGCTCTTGCAGGCGCAGCAGGACCAGGCGGCACCTGCCGGAGGCCGCGCTGCCCGTCCACGGCCTCTTCGGGCAGTCGTCGTCGTCGTCGTCGTCGTCGTCGTCGCCGTCGTCGTCGTCGTCGTCGTCGTCGTCGTCGTCGTCGTCGTCGTCGTCGTCGTTGTCGTCGTTGTCGTCGTCGTCGTCTTCGGCCGTCGTCATCGGCGGAGGAGGGGAGGAGGAGAGGAGGAGGCGGTGGAGGAGGAGGAGGAGGAATCATTAAACACCTTGAAGAGAAGGAGGACGCGAAACGAGGACTTGCAGCATTGCATATGGCTTCGGGGCGCCTTGGCCCCGTCAGCGGGCCCACCCTCAAGAGCACAGCGGTCGCACGTGCCCGTCGTATTTGACCAGAGGAGAAGGAGGAGGGGGAGGAGGATGAGGAGGAGGAGGAGGAGGAAGAGGAGGAAGAGGGGAACGACGAGGAGGAGGAGGGGGAGAGGAACGAGGAGGAGGATGAGGAGGAGCAGGAGGAGTTGGAGAAGGAATGAGAAGGAGGAGGTGGAGGAGGAGAAGGGGAAGGAGAGATTGCGAAGGCCTGACGGCCGGTGCCGCCGACCCTGTTCGCAATGCGCAGCAAGAGGCACGGGCTGTGGAATGGTTTGGGGGAACGGGGAGAAGGGCGAGAAGGTGGGGGAGGGAGGTGTCGTATCTGACCCGGGACTTCCCCGGGACTCCCCCGGGACCCCCCCCGGGACCTCCTCTCCCCCCCCCGTCGGGGAAGGGAAAGGGAAGGGGCTTCCCTTCGACTCAATGACGACGTTGCTCAAGGTCGGTACGGGGGGGGGGCGTCGTATCTGACTCGGGGGGGGGGTCGCTACCCCCCCCGCTACCCCCCCCCCCTCCCGGCGGGGGAGGAATGAAAGGGAAGGGGCTTCCCTTCGACTCAATTACGAGGTTGCTCAAGGTCGGCTTGGCTGGAGCCCAGGGGAAGAGGAGTCCCAGGGGGGGGCGTCGTATCTGACCCGGGGGGGGGGTCGCTACCCCCCCCCCCTCCCGGCGGGGGAGGGATCAAAGGGAAGGGGCTTCCCTTCGACTCAATTACGAGGTTGCTCAAGGTCGCCTTGGCTGGAGCCCAGGGGAAGAGGAGTCCCAGGGGGGGGCGTCGTATCTGACCCGGGGGGGGGGTCGCTACCCACAGGTTCTCCGGATCTATCCGTTAGACCCGGAGAGCCGCGGATCTATCCATGTTAACTTAACATCAATGGATAGAACCGGAATCCAATGGATAGAACCAGAAATCACGCACACGTGAAATCAACGTATGAGATTCAGAGACGTTGTGGCCAATATGCACGAACACCAGCCGCGCCAATAATGTGTGGGGTGTGGTTTCTAGTGTTGTTATAATCGGTCTGGGTCTTATCGTTGTCTTGAGTTTTTTGCATATAATCGGTTGAACGCCGCAATGTGATGGAATTCCGTTGTATCATATGTACAGTCAGGATGTTTCATATATCGGTACATGCACGCATGCATCCATGTATATGGATACGCGCGTATGCGCGCACATACTAATTCAGGGAGGGGGGATATAGGAGGAGCAGGAGAAGGAGGAGGGAGGGAGGATGAGGAGGAGGGAGGAGAAGTGAGGACGAGGAGGAGGCGGAGGAGGAGAAGGAAGAGGAGGAGGATGAGGTGGGGAGTAAAAGGCATCAAGATGCTGAGGGTGAGGGCCTTCATCGTCCTGTTCCTCGGCATCGTATGAATGTCATGCCTGTCCATCCTCCTCCTGCTCCCTCCCGCCCTCCCTCTCTCCCCCCTTTCCTTCTCCCTCTTCTCAGTCGCATGCTCCCTCCATCCTCCATCCCAGCCCATGCCCAATGCACGTCTCTGAAAGCGCTGGAGAGAGCGCACGGCGGCGGCAATCGAGGTATGGAGAGTTAGCGTCATCATCATCATCATCTTCCTCCTCCTGGGGGGGGTCTTCATCTTGCCTCATCCGTCCTCGGTCTGCCTGCTCCAGCTGCCTCGACCTCCGATTCCTCCTCCTCATCATCCTCCTCGTCCTCCTCCGCTTCAATATCAGCACGCCTCCTGCTCCTCCGATTCCTCCTCATCATCCTCCTCCTCATCCTCTTTTTCCTCCCCCTCATCTCCTTCGCTTCCTCCTGCTTTCCATCTCGTTTTCCGCCTCCGTCGACGACTGCTTAATCGAGCATGTCAATCAGATATGCGTCCGTGAGCTCCACTGGCTCTGGGACGGGCGGGGGTAAAATCGCATACCAATACACCATATCAAATGGCTGGGGGAACACGTGAAACCTTAGACTGCACAACCAACGCACGGTCAGGTTTCCAGGCCAGACGTGGAACTCTTTCTCGGGGAAACGGTGCTGGTTATTGTAGCCCTGCGGGGTGAGAAACACCCGCGTCCACGATAGCCATGACAGGACGACGGCGGTGACGACGACGACGACGCCGACGACGCCGACGACGACGACAACGATTGACGTCGTTTGTCTGTCGGCGAACGCGGGCGGTTATCTCCCGATGCCTCCCTGGAGCAGCTGATCCCTAGAATGTCGATAATCGAATCCGCGGAGGCATTGCACAGGTACGGGATCTGACGGATCGCTCGCGATTCTTGATGAATCGCTTCCTGGGGATGGGAGGTAACCGCCCCGCCGCCCCCGCTCGCGAGGGTGAGAAACGCTTGGGGAGGGTGGTGGGGGCTCGATAAAGCAGCCGTTGCGTTGCACATTTCTCCAAGGAAGCGCACGCAGTGCACTGACTCCCCTGATGTGATATGCAGATCATCTGCTGTTTCATCGAGCCCTCCACCGTCATCCCCACGCGTTTCGCACCCCCATCATGGAGAGAATGAGGAGGGCGAGTGCGAAGGTTGAGGGGGGACGGGTGCGATGGGGGGAGCGGTTGGTATGCACGGGCGTGCGGGTGGATATCACAATTAACACCCCAGTGGTCAAGTGTGGTCTCGATTACCTCCATATCTGAAGTGTCAGACTCTCCTGCGAGTGCGACGAGCTCCATCACGTCGTCACTGTCCGAGCTCGAGAGATCCATCCCCAGTCCCGCGAGCTCGACAGGTGCGTTCCAAAACCCCGTGATCGAACACAAACACTATTGGGCAGAGATCAACGGAGGAGATGGATGCGGAAGCGGAGGATGAATCCGAGAACGGAGAAGGCAGAATGAAGACGGAGGAATCAGGTGGAATCGCTTTCTCAGTATGGGACGGATGGAGATAGGGATTGGCAGGGGATATACATTGGTGGGGAGAGCGATTGGGGCACAGACCGCGGAGCGATGTGATGCACAAGGGTCGGCTGCGCGGGGGGGGGGGGGGGGCAAGCCATGAGGATACGAGTGAGGATGCGGGCGGAGGCAAATGAGGGAGTGTGGATGTGCATGCGCGTGCGCGTACGTTCGAGTGTGTGTGTGTGTGTGTGTGTGGGTGTCCGTGTGTGTGTGTGTGTGCGTGGTTGTGTATCATCCCATCCTCCTCCACATCCGTTTCGCCATCATCATCATCATCGTATTCGTATGTTGCCCGCGATGGCTCAGCTGTGTGCTGCACTCGGATACACGCCCTCACGTGGTGGGTACGTACTAGGCGCATAATATAGTCAGACATATCCCAGACTACTCCCAGACCAGTTTCAGACACATTCAGACTACTTTCAGACTATTTTCAGACTACTTTCAGACTGGGTCCTTTTTCACACTAATGTGAAGCTAATTGTAAAGCGCATGCTACAGTTTAGCGGCCGCGCGACTGCAACACGAGATCACACAACGCTTGTGCAAACTCTGTCGGGTACTGCGCAGAGTCTCGCAAGCCTTGTTGCTTGCCGTTGACCCACACATCTTTCCTCCAGCCAGTGTTGGACAACGGAGTCGAGCGCCTGCGATTCCTACCCGACGGGCGGGGGTCGTCTGCCCAGAGCTTACGGGGGCGCCCACTGGCCGCCACTCTGCGTTTCGAGGCCTTGCAAGTCTTGCAGAGAATATGCTCCGCAAGTGCTGTCTCGTGAGTGTAAAAGATGCCCAGCGGCTTGACCGTGGGGGCGCCGAATCCACCTAAATACGTTACAAGCTTAGTGGCGCCAACTGTACTAAATGAAACATCGACGCATGGGGCCTTGCACAAGCTAGACGCCAGCGGGTTCTCGACTAGAATGCGCACACTGCGAGCACACGCTAATACCACCAGCCATGACCTTAATTCACAGAGATCCAGATCCGCTGGACCACGCGTGTCATTGATCGTATCGATCGGGTTACTTACTCCACGCTATCATCATCAATCCGATCGTCCCCAGGGCCCCCCCCCAGGAATGGCGGAGACAGGAGGAGTAGAAGGATGATGAGGAGGATTGGTAGTAGGAGTCTCAAGGAGGGGCAGGGCGAGCAGGATGAGGAGGAGGAGGACAATCCTGAGGGGGGCGGCCATGAATTCGAGAGCCCTGAGTGCCCTGAGCCCCCCGCATTACCATCGCACACATGTTTGACTCCAAAACTTTGCGAGCGCTTTCGTTGCCGAGGATGTCGCGTGCTCTGCGCCCGCTCTGGCTCCGTGTCATGTTGATCCACATACTGCATTCATTCTCAAACATCGCTGTAGCACCAGGGCGCAACTGAAGAACGGAATACCCTGCCCATATTACACCCTCCAATGTACAGGCGTCCTCGGAAAAGTGGCCTCTCCTTTGCGCGACAATTCGGCAGAGCTCAACTCAATTGACCCACCAGGGCGACCGAGCTCGCCTTGGCGGTGGACGAGCTCGCCCTGGTGGTGGTATCGAGTTGGAGTCTGCCGAATTGTCGCGTAAGTCCTGTCGAATTTTCTACTGGCGCCTCCTGCGTTTTGCACGAGGTCGCTCGTCTCCCCCTTCCCGCAGAACATCTCGAATAGGTCGAGCGTGCGCGGGGGGTTCTCGCTCATCAGCCTCCCCACCTCCTCCTGGGCTATCTGCAGGATGGTCATCATATTCGATCGGCCCAGCCACCTCTGCTTCCATGATGGCGCCAGCTCCTTCG